AAAAAAGAATCTTTCATTCAGACTATTGCCTGGGGAGAAGTAGAGCAAAGCTTCATTTAGACGTATGAGGAAAAGCCGCATGACCAATCTCACATATCGTAAGAAAGACTCTCTGCAGATTAAGAATGAAGCTCTATATATCATTTGACAGAGAAGGTAATGCACAGACAATTGGGGATATAAACTTAATGGGAAGATCTGGGGTTAGGAGAGGACAAGAAAGCCCCTTCAACACAGACAACTGAACGGCACATTATCCACACATTAGCATTTCAAGAGGAAAAAGAGAATAAGGAGGGGAATCCTTTTATAATAGGTCAGTGTTTATACCTGGAAACAGATTTGTAGTATAAATATCTACAACAATACAAAAGTCTTTAAGAGAAAAAAAAAAAACAACACACACCACCCAAAACCTGAAACCGTGACTGTGGGACATAATTGCTAAAGCAACCAATAGCTTTGGCCTGGCAAATTGCACTCAGATAAATCCTCCTAAAGCTAAACATGCCCCACAGATTCTGACAGAGCCCTGTATCCCCCTCCTAGTTATTTTACCAAATCGATTGCAGCTGTTGGACCAATTTGCCCTCCATGGGATCAATTCTTTCAAAAAAACAATGCATGTGAAATATCATTTCCTTACAGGTTTGCCTAAAATCCTCTCCAGCCTAATAAATTAAGTTTAGAAGTTTTCAGCCGCAGCAGAGATCAGGTTTCAGATTAGGTCTAGGTAGTAGTCTCCCCACCTCGCCTGCAAACTAGTTTCAGGAAGACCGTCCTCTCCTTGCAAAAACCCAGAGCACTACTTAACATAGCAAACCTGCCCTCGCTCTGTTTGCAAACAGGAGAAAAGCTGGAGAAAATATTAATTCAGAAAGGAAGGAAGAAGAGGGGGAGGGGGGAGAGGAGAAAAGAAGCCGAAAACCCCTCAACCCTAAGGTTGATTCAAACTGAAATGACTTGCATGCCCTTTGTGGCTTTAGAAATGGAGCCACCTGCTGCCTCTTCTGTCAGCCTTGACAGTTTAATTAGCAATAGAGCACCTCCCTCCCCAGGTCCTCTTTATGCGCACTAATGGGAAAAAACCTCTCAATCTCTCTCCCTCTCTCCCTCTCCCCACTTCCCCCTCCCCTCGCTCTATTAGCCTTGAAGATAAAAGTGAAGGAGATTGCCTACATCAATGGGGATACCAAGATCACCCCCGAAACAAAGAGCAAGACCATCTACAAGCTGAACGGGCTGACAGAAAGGGATCTGAGGAAAATCGTGCTCTGGCTCAAAGGTGGCCTCCAGTGTACCTGCGACGAGATGAACGACATCAACGTCCCCTACTTGGTGATGGGCCAAAAGCAAGCTGGGGAACTGGTGATCACCTCGCTGAAGCGGTGGCAGAAAGGGCAGCGGGCTTTCAAGCGCTTTTCCCGCAGCATCCGCAAACTGCAGTGTTAGTGGCATCGGCTCCGGGAGCCCCCAGCAGCCGCCTCTCCTCCCCGCTCTCCAGGTGCCGCTCCCCGAGGGGGGAGGAAGCCCCTCCGTTTTTGTATATAGGTTAAAATAAAAAAAAAAAAATCATGGCTATTTTTGGGACGTATTAAAGTATCTCGCTTAAAGCTTTTTTTTTTTTTTATGGTTGCAAATGTGACTTTGGTCTGAGGTGTTTTCCTCATCATTTTTGGTAATGCTGGTTCATTTATATTGCTGCTTCTCTGTATACATGCATGTTTGTTGTGCAAAAGTAGGAGATGCAGAGAAAGACTGGCCTGTCACAGTGGGTACGACTCTTTCACCGAGGTGAAATGGCTTGGCATCTATATTAACACTATAAAAGGTCATGTTACGACTCTTGCATGTGATACATAGGCACCAGTAAGAGTATATTAACCATTCTCACATTTTATTTTCCACAAGTCTGAGCCCTTCTCTCTCAGAAAAAATGAACAAGTTTTGGAGCTGGTTGATCTGAATGCAACTTTTTTTTTTAATTATTATTTTCCAAATTAAACCATCTGTAGCCTAACTGTAATATACCTAGTGATTAACCTGAAAGAGTTGTAAAATATTGCTTTAATTAACCTTGTAAATACTCCAGATAAATGTTATATTCTTGTATATAAACTTTACATCATAGTCTACCCGTTGTCTTGATCTGTGTTCACTTTAATCTGTTTTGAGAGAATTGCGAGGAAGCTGTCCAAGTGGGCTTTGTTATGGCAAAGCAAAGTTTGGCCTTCCACCCCAAGTGACCGGTAGAGAAGCATGAGGAAGCATCTAGTGCTGCAATCAGAAAAAACGTGCTGGACTTCATTTCCCCTGAGATGAACCCATGTGACACGGGGCTGAGGTTCAGTCAACACATTTTAATACGTGTCTGTTGAGCTCTTCGAGATGAAGAGTTTTCTCTGGCTTCTTTATTCGACTGGCTGCATTTTCATCTCATCTTCTCAGAAGGCTCTATTGACATGGAATTGCAGTGAGACCACTTGCTTAAAAATCAAATCCACTTATCCATTTCTTATGCTTGAAAAAGGCATATTAAAGAGTGCAAGAGTAGACAGAAAAACGTCATTTGCAACTAGCAATTCAGAATAACAGTAGAGCAAGGCATGCTTTGTGTGTATGTACACTCACCATTCTTACTGAGAAAGAAAATAAAACCTACCTAATAGTGTAACTAGAGGATGATTTTCAGCATTTTTCTTACAGATGTTTTCTGATGAAGAACATTACCTGCTAGTATTTTATTGTACTTATCCTAAAAAATGGTCTTGCTTCCGAGAGCTGTCACACGTAAAAAATTCCTCTTATCTCCCCTGAGAGGCTGAGCAGTCCAGTATTCCCAAGGGCAACGTTTTATTCACAGACAGAATACAAACCCAACAGCAGATTTTTCTTTAAAGTAAAACATCATATTAATTTCATACATTGAGAGTGGTTTTTTTTCACCATCAGGATAAGAAGATAAATTCTAAAGATCCAACATGTTAGATTTGTTTTAAAGAAATGAATTGTTGGCCCTCTCCCACAGTCTTAATGCACTCACTACACCTGGTACAAACAACGGTAGGACTCTGACCAAGCCAGACAAGAGCAGTCCTCAGAAATGTCCTCAAAAGCATAACAGTTTTTAAAAAATGCGACAAACCACTAAACAAAAAGCCCCATTCCAAACTGGCTGTCACTTCTTTTGTGAAACTGTACCTTTATTTAAATGTTGTTAAAACTTTTTTTCTGAATGGAGCTGGCTTCCCAGGCAACAGATTTGAGTCTTTTCATGCTGTGGCGAAATTATTTTAATACCAGCACTACGTCCATCATCTTACAGAGCCATCAGCATCCAGATGTCACAGCGCCCTACCCATCTCGCTCAGCACATATAGTGTAATACCTGTCCCTGAACAGCCTTGGCTTAGAGGGAACAAGCTCACAGATAAAGAGGAGCTGGCTGAAGATGAGCCTGCAGAAAATGGGCTTGTGCTGGCTGGTGAAGGAAAGCACTTTGAAGAGGCAGTCGTTGCAATGCAGTCTCTGGGGTCCAAAAAAGAACAGCTAGGGCTGCTCCACTCGGCCTGCCTTACGGATAATAAGTCCTCCTGCAGGAACCATAAAATTATCTTAATTGGGCTGTCCTAGAAAGCTGCAGTACTGACACTGATGAGGACAGACAGGTCACAAGTTACTCACTCTGGGGTCGTGTTAAGGCCAAGACTACACAACAGATTTTTGCCATATCACTTAGATTCATGAAGACACATTACCTATGACCAACACCGCTCTGTCTTAAAAAAGAAACAAGAACACCAATATTCCCCTTCCTCCATCACGAAATAAACACCATTACACCAGCAGAATCCTGTTCCTGTCGGGACAAATGCAGGAGAAGAATAAAGTAGACTGGCAAACATTCAATTTTACTAGCATCATCAGCGTCCTGGACTAAGAGCATCCTGCCATACAGCACACCCCTACCGATACAGCCTTCTGCATGTGGCCCTGGGCTGAATCCCTGGCACTATCCACCCGCAGGGTGACCTGGCAGAGGTAGGATTACCTTTCAGATAAGTAAGATTTAGCAAATGTGAAGAGTAATGGGACTCTCGTTTTCCCAGTTTAGTTCCATTGCCTTGTTCTAACAGTATTGTGCTAAAAGATGGGACATATGCACCTCGCCAAGGAGAGGGAGTGTCAGTGTTTGTTACACCTTCTGTTTCCAAAGGTGTATAAGCCAGTCATTGCGAACTATTCAACTGAAAATTAGGATTTTAAAGCCACAGCCCGAGGAAACGTCATCTCTCAGATGCTGGCAAAGAAATAAACATAAATTTTTCACATATTTACCTTTACTCTTGCTTGCTTGACAAGAACTGAAAATCTTCAACTCTGCCAGGCAAATAGTGAACCAAACATGTAACAAAAAATTATCGGAGCCTGTTACTTCTGATCATATACTGCAAAATAACTTTATTACCTGCTATGGTTCCATTCTAACAGAATTTTTTTTTTTTTGCAATTGATGAAAAAAGGCAACCCACTGTTGTATTTTTCAGACACTTTTTGTCTTCTTCTAATTAAAACAACATTGTTAGGCAGCCAATTATGTAGCTCCCATTGTATTTGCTTTCATAAAAAATGTAAAAGCAGTTGACTACAATGGATTAGTTTAAGAGCAATAGTAATGATACTTGACATTTACACAGAAGTTTCCATTTAAGTTTCTCAGACTGCCTTCATAAGCATTAATATCCCTATTTTGCAGATCAGGAAAATGAGGCACAGTGAAGTGAAATAACTCATTCAAAACCACCCAGCAAGTCCTTTACAGTCATGAAAAGCTGCATATTTTGTGTCTCTGAGTTTTATGCTCTAATCACTTGGCCACAGCAATCAGAATGGTGTATAATCAAGGCAGCACTTACATTGTAATTTGAAAGCATAACAGCAACCAAGGCTCCCTCCAACATCTTCTTCCCCTGAGCGTATAAAAAAAATGACTGTCCAAATTCAACTTTAAAACCCATGAGCAATACTCCTTGCAGTCTTTTCCTTTCTTCCTTATTTATCGTTCTCTCTATCCTTTAATTACTTCTTAATCCTTTCTTTTCTCCCTCACTTCTCATTCACTTCAGACACCCACAGAGAAGCCACTCAGCCCCTCTCTCGCCCCTCTCACACAGACACTTTCACCCTCAGTACGGGTTATTAAAGAACTCATGCAGTATAACTACACACAAGCCACAAAAATCCTAATGACCAGCTTAAGACATAAAAAGACCCATGCGGGAAATTCAGCAAGAGGCATTTAAATTTAATTAGTGATTTTCTGTGAGGACAGGAGGGAGGTTAGATGCCACAAGGAGCAGCACCACAGGCACATGCTGGTCGCCTCAGGCACAGCCACTATTCCTATTCTGCAGCAGGAGAATATAAAGATATTTAAAGAATATAGCGAGCATGAAGAACACACAGATAAAGCACGCCTTCCCTTGCATGGCCAGGTCTCCCTCACATCTCAGTCCCATTGTTATGTTCCGCCACTGGAGCCATGGTGGACCTCTCTCAACCTTCTTCTGGATGTCTCATGACCTCTCTTCAGCCATTGAGGGCATCAGCCAAGAGCAGAGCCCCCGTGACTCGAGAGCGGATGGCCTCACCGTGCCCCTGGTGCCTGCAGCTGGCTGGGCAGCCCCTTTGCTGCCACTCCTGCAGTCTGCTGCCTGCCTCACCAAACCTGCCAGCCCCACGAGCCCTCGTCATGTGCCTGCAGTTGGCAATGCCAGAGACAGGGCGATGGATTGATGGCTACCAGAGCGGTAGGCAGCCTTCCTTAGGTCGGGCAGCCCAGGCTTCTGTTATTGGAGCCAGAAGTTCTTATTTTGAGTCTTCAGAGAGAAGCCGGTATGATTTATCTAGAAGTTGCTTTCTTATCAGCAGATGTGGATTCAGTACAGCCTGACGTCTGATGAAACAGCCACAGGAACGGATCTTATTTGCCTCTGTACGAGAGTGCAAGATACTCACATCACAGGAATCCAAGACCCCAAGCTGTCTTACAAACATAAATTAGCCCATGATATATCGCTTTGGGGTGAGTTTAACAGGGTAACACTTTCCAAATGCATCAACCCCTTTCAGGGTGAGCTGTGGGCTCCTAAATCACCTAGATGCCTTGGAAAATATTAGCCACTGTCCCCCACTGGAGTTCAAGCCCGTTGGCTGAGGTCAGCCAGCAAGCCTGTCACCCAGCCAGGAGGAACACCTCAGCCATCAGCCAGCCAGCCCATCACTCTCATGACTGATCAAAATAACCAAACAACACAGAAAGCTGTGCTGCAAAGTGGCTGATGGAGCAAACTTCAAAACCAATTACTGCACACACAGAGAAGCTCTCCGGCCAGAAAGACCAGTGCAAGTTAGGAGGCATGGTCAGTGTCTTACAGAACAGACCCAAGAAAAAGCATACATGCCCAGTGTCATATGGAACAGACACAAGAAAGAGCATACATAC